AACGCCCATGCCCACACCGCCAGAGTTACTCGGGACTTTCTACAGCAGAACGGTGTCAACGTTATGCACTGCCCAACCCTTAGTCCGGACTTAAACCCGATTGAACATCTTTGGGATGAAATTCAGGGGAGACTTAATAACATCGTACCGAGACCAAACACATCCGATGGATTGCGTCAAGCTTTTCTGAGAGTGTGGTTCCAGGTGCCAATGGCGTTCATTAATCGCCTGGTCCACTCCATGTACAGACGGTGCGCTGCTGATATTGACACTCGCGGTGGACACACCAGATACTGATGTATAGACTGTGTACAGACTCTAAACCTTCTCGTAATGTCTAGGAATTGTAATGAATTAATCACTAATGTGTCAACATACTGTTCAGAAAAAATTGCTTTGATCCATTTAGTAAATCGTTTTCTAGAATGATTTGATTTAAGTGCCTCTCTGATTTTGAAATGGTACTGACGTTTTTTTTTTGTTTTTTTTTTAAGTATAGATATAACCTGTCGTGGCCGCTACAACATGTCATAGCCACGGACAGTAGTGCTATGGTCGTTTGGTTATACAACAACCTTTCGCGGAAATGCGTGACTTTTAAAGCTACAAATGACATGGCCACGGAGAACCGTGGTGGGTGTGAGGTTGTTGGTCATTAAACCTTGGCATTCAGATAGAACTTAAAACCGAGACCAAAACAAAAACTTAAAAAAAGTCAAAATGTAACAAGAACACGGTTGATATTTTCAACTGAACAACAACGTCTATAAAAACAATTTCGATTAATATTACTCGAAATTCGTACTTCGCCTGGAAATATGTCAATAATGACAACGACGTTGTATTAGACTAGTCGGAGTAGGACGTGAAACCCCTTCTCATTTTAATCATAAAGACAGCGACCTGCTATTTGGTATTATTCTAAATTGCTTGAATTATCTCGCAAGATGTATTTCTAGCACAAGATGAAATATATATTCCAAGTGAAATGTGAAACCCCATTTTCGTGTAAACAATAAATGATTGCACTTTGGCAAGTCGAACGCCATTGTTGCTAAGGGGAGGGGGGGATAGAAACTATCATTGACATAATTAGAAAGAGCAAATCAAAATTGTATTAACCCTGCCAACTTATCAAATGATATAAGATATTCTTGAAAGAGCATGTATACCCTGCATCGTGCACGATAAATTGGATAAATAAATATTCTCTAGAAATATTACTCGTTTAGTGGTTTTGTGGGTCGTGAAAATACAAGATTGACCTAGCTTTCTATAAATATAATATTTTCTTGAAAGAACCATACGGTAATCACGTGTTACGTGTTTTAGGTAACGGATCGCTTAGTTCACAATGTATAAATGTATAAAGACTAGTCATGTGTTGGGTGTAGTTACATGTATAAATTATCATAATGTCGTCTTTCTGTAGCTGTATAGAAAGCAGATTTCATATCTATTTAAGTGGTATGTAGTCATGAAAAGGACAGGATCAGGTGTCATTGACAAGCCAATTGTTTGGGTTGAATCATATCAATGATGAATAACAAGTCGTTAGATAAAATTATTTTTAAATATGGATTTTGAGGAAATAAAGTGTTAAATTTTAAATGGCGAATCTTAATTTAATGTGTGAGTATATTGTATATGGCGATCTTTGCGCGCTCTGAGACCATTTTCCGTCGTCGTAGCAGCGAAGTAAGGACGCCATCCCGATCTGACGAGTATATAGCCCATTACATCTTTTTAGGGAAAATCCTATTACATCTACACGTGATCACGCTGGCGCTCCCGCTACAACCTAAAAACGTACGGCAAAGTGCATCTAGGTCTCTAAGAACGATCTGTTGACGCAGTAGAAACTCTCGGGCCGAGAGGAGGTCGCCATGAGCTACCTTGACCGTGACTGTACTGCGTTAATACACTGTCATGGTTGTTTTCCACTACCTCTCCAAATCGTTCTCAGAGACGTTTCTGCGTTTTACCGCATGATTTCATACATTTTAGGACGCAGTGTGATAGGGTTTTGAATAGACCGATGCCCTGGTCGCAGAAGGCTCTATTTTGGATGCACGGCGCACCTGTTCAATGAATGAGTTGTTAGCGTATTGCTGAATGCGTAGTGATAGCGCTGCGGTAGCGACTTGGGTGCACTGAGAGCACACATAGAGCAGTAGTGGGTGCATTGAAAGTGCACTAATGATCATACTGGGAACTGTATAGGATCACCGTGACAGCGTAGTAAATTTGTTAAGAACGTACTGTAAGCTAATTCGTGTCATGGATTTTCATAATTATTGGAGATGGCATTGCGCTTTGGTGAATAATTTCACAATCCGGAAACACAAAGCGCTGGCCGTTCGGGCTATTATAGTTGAAAAACATATAACGAAAAATGAATATATTGAACATTTCAGTCGAATTGCTTTATTCTGAGCTATGTTATGAGTGTGAGAAGATGTAGGTAAGATAGTCGAGATTCTCAAATGTCATAGCTACGATGATTATGAAAAGGGTTCGAGTATTTAACGTTAAATTATTAAATTATTATATCTCGACCATCCCATGGCCTATAGTGTTGATTACGTGTTTGGCAATATTCCAAGCAAGAAAGGTGAGCAATAGCCAGATTTAGGTCTTGCATAATGCATCTTTGTGCCTTTTGGGAGTAGGGTCGCCTGTCCAACCTCGTGGGTTTTCTCCGGGGCCTCCGGTTTCCTCCCACTGCTAAAGACCCCTACGCGCAAGCGAATTATGTAAATAAAATTAAACAATATGTTAGTCCCGAAATGACCTAGTTTGTGTCGAGTGGACGTTAAACCCCATTTCTCTCTCTCTCTCTTGTGCCTTTTGAATAACTTTATTTGACACTTTGGTTGCCATAGTAACAATGGTCGTACAACGAACAAATGAAACGACGAACCACGAACTTGCTTATTCGATATTCACCAAATATGGAATTAGTAATATACTAAAGGCGCCTTTAAAGGGAATAAGCCGGGATTGTTTTTTATGAGCCTAATAATCATCTAGAATGGACGCATTTACTTTACTCATTTTATCTACTTTTTATGGACTCTTCCAACTACTATATTGTCATTACTTGCTATACTGTTGCCGCTATTGACAACAAATGCTCGATGATAAGTAGGATCCGTTTCCTCTGTCCCAATTAAACCTGCCAATTGTTGGTATCCCATAATACTTATCTAGCAAATTAACTTCTGGAAATCTTGTTCCATTCTATTTCTTGTTTACACGATGATTGGTTGGCTGGTTTCTAGTCTATGTGGATCCACTGTGCCTAAATGGGCGAGACGCTGGCTCGCTAGCATTGGCCGAGAAAGTTCATCCAGGGCGGAGGACCTGAAAAGGCGGCTGTTTAGTCGTCCGAATAGGACGAAAAAAAAACGAGGCCCCGTGTACAAATTGGATCGCACGTAAAAATTCTTTGCAGCTGGAACTCGATATAAGAGTAGGCCGTAGTGCCCCTGTCCGGGCATCCATCGTCATACCCATCGTCATTAGCCCAGTTCGGAGCAGAACAATAGAACTTAAACGCCATGTCATTTTATTTCATTTCTAGTCTATGGCGAGTATCCTAATCTCAAACTAGTATTCGAGTATTTTAATACAGGAGTTCTGCTATTCATTATGCGAATACAGGAGGTCTACAATAGAACATTCGAATACAGGAGGTCTACAATAGAACATTCGAATACAGGAGGTCTACAATAGAACATTCGAATACAGGAGGTCTACAATAGAACATTCGAATACAGGAGGTCTACAATAGAACATTCGAATACAGGAGGTCTGCGATCGAACATTCGAATACAGGAGGTCTGCGATCGAACATTCCAATACTCGGGTCGAGGCTCTTATGATTAATCTGCAATTATTTATTGTCGTGGTTGATGCTAGAGAATGGATGTGAGAAAATTATTTGTCGTTCAGGCAGGGCGTGGTGGGGTTTGGGTAGAAACACATAATATGAATTTTTGTGACAATTAGAATCGATAACCCGACATATAACCCGACCCGAAATTTTCGAATATTGAGCGAAGGAAGGGAGGATGGGGGATATTTTTAAAACGTTTTCTCTTTCGGGCCACGAGGTCACAAAGCATCTAACTGACCTGCTTCCAAAGTCAAATATTTCTCGGGTCAGTCGGACCGAAATTCATATTGGGGCAACTGTGTACCGCGCCACATATCTTTTGTTAGCCTTGATCGTCTATTTTGTTAGCCTGTATCTCTCTCCTTTAGGACTACAACGTTGTGTTTTCTCAGCATACCGAAATCAAATACGTAACAGGAACAACAATAGTTTTGTCTATGTTTTTATGTCATAACAGTTAAACAATAGTCTATATAACAATATTTAAAATTAACAATTCTTTCGCTATATTATTACCATATTATATTATTATTAAAATATTATTACCATTACAAATTACTGATTCTCAATTTATAATCAAAAAAAAAAATATAATATATATATATATATATATATATTTATTAGGACCATCGTATTGTTGCAACTGTCAACGTAGGGAGTCAAAATGGTGTTACGGAAATTTTACTTTAAGGAACACACTTGCAAATTATAGAGGAGACGGCTTCTCTTTTCCGTCATTAATTACACGCCAGGGTGACGTCATACATACCGGCAGTATGCTCTCTGAGTCTCTCCTCTCAGTGCATTGTTCTGAACCAGACTTTAATAGATTACAAAACATTTTCTCCCCCATGCACACACACATTAACTTAATCAAAGAGGATTGTACCAGTGAAATGTATCTCCACTTTCGATATTAAAATGTGATAATGGAAGATGTTTATTGTGTTTGTTGATAATGTACTCGTTTTGTTTAACACTGAAGATAAAGCCAATATAATCACCATAATATCTACCAGTCTTCCGTCTCCACTCCTCGTGTATCGTCTTCACTAATTCGTCCACTGTTTTATTTCTACTAATACTTATATTCCCACAACCACTGTAAATACAGGTAAATATATATTATAATACTTATATCATACAGGTAAATATATATTATAATACTTATATCATACAGGTAAATATATATAATAATACTGTAAATAAAGGTAACGTCCTTGTTGAATAAGTAGGCCACCAATAATATATAATATAAAGAGGTGAAATTTGAGAAGGTTTATAAAGGTAGATATAGATGTAGAGAGGGAGAGAGAGGGATGTATCTATTGATGGAGTATAACGATATAGCTGTGTAATAATATTTGGTGTATTTAATACAATAGAACATACCATTGTCATCAAATAAATAATACAAGTCAATCATATTAACATTCCGTTTATTTATTTATTACAAAAATGTCAAATATTTTCTTTACATGTTTCATGGTCCATTAAATGTGATTTAATTTAATTAATTTGATGTTTTAACTGAAGACGTTCAAATGTATACACACTCGTTGGACCGGAATTCCTTGGTGAGGGGGAATGGGGATTTAGAGACTCAGAATGTAGTTCCGAGGGCTTCCCCCGGACAGTTTTTAAAGCTGGACTCTGTTTATCGATAAGGTGTGTCCTCTCATTACCTCACACGTTATTTGAAAGACAATCGAAGTCTCTGTCGAGTTCATAAGGTTTTGGGAAAGGGGGAGGGGCACACGACAATCTTCAGATTTCCCTTTTTTGTGTGTAATTAATAATTGATAACAATAATTTAAATAAGTCTATAACTTTTATTTAGGATTCCTGAAAACATTTTGCTACGTGGATGGAACTCAAATTAAAACTGTCAAGAGAGAGGGAGTACATGCCCTTAATGTACAGGTAAGTAGAATTATTTATCGTGTACAGGTAAGTAGAATTATTTATCGTGAACAAGATATAGAAATATGCTAATATAATACGTAGAATAACTGGATTATTAAATAGTATCTTATCTTTTATGTTTGATCATATTTTATTAATAAATAACTTTTGACTTTAAGAAAGTTTAAAATCTCACAAGGTAATTTTATTTTCATAATGATTAATGTTAATATTCTTGGCGACACTTTAAATGGTTTAAATGGATCATCTTTCAGTACTTATGACAGAGATAATGACGCTGATGCCAACAGAAATTGTCTTCTCCAGTATGATGGAGGATGGTGGTTTAATAGTTTAAACAATTGCTCCACTAGGTCATTTCGGGACTAACACATGGTTTGATTTTATTTCGAGAAATAGTTTTTGGAGAAATGTATTTGGAGAAATGTTTTTAGAGAAATGTTTTGCAAGATTTGTATTTGGAGAGTTGTATTTGGAAATCTGTTGTTCGAGATTTGTTCTGTAAATGTAGGCTAATTTTTTGATTTTCTAAAATTTATTTTGTCTTTATATTAAAATACATTTGAATTAAACATGTTTGTGTATCTCATGAAGACTTTGTACAGCTTTAAAATTACTGTTTAGACAAGACTATAACTGAGTCAGCTACGATAAATACTGTAAGGGTTTATCAAACGTGGATTCAAAAAAAACTATGGTGGCGGATTGGTATCATGTCGTGATGTCACCCTTCATAAGGCGACATCACGACATATTAACCCGAAATCACGACAACGCTACAACTCGACATCACGGCATTAAAATTGTCGCAATGTCGTGTTAAAATGTCGTGATGTCGTGTTGTGGGATTGGCGGTCATCTTCCTCTGTATATACGGTATGATTATATACACTGATCCTGGTGTTGGTCAAGAACTTTCCCCGGAATTTTGCAGCGTAGTTTTTCTTGTCGGTAGTTCAGGACGAAGTGTCTAGTTTAGTAGATGGGACAAAGACACAAGCTCATGTGTATAAATGTCGTGATGTCATATTAACATTTAGTGACGTCAGGTTGTCGCCTTATGAAGGGCCACATCTAGACATGATACCAATCAGCCACCATAGAAAACAAATATTTCCTTATTATTTGTAGTTCGACCGTGAAACTTGTTAAATCATACATATACATGAGTCAGTTACTATAAATAGTGTGTGGGTTTCTATTTACGGGGATTCTGCAAAAAATATTTCCTTATTTGTAGCACGGCCTCGTCCCTTGTTAGAGCCAGAAGGCGCTTCAACATCAGTGAAAGACGGTCGTGTATTTGTGTTATAAGCTGACCGATCACGCCCATCACGTCATCAATATGTCTGATCAAGTGAGTATATTGAAATGATTATATTAGAGAATATGAGGTTATTCTAGTTGTTCAATTTAACCAGTAATTTGTTTGAATGGCTCAATGATGGTTACATCTATTTGATAAGGCCAACTTCAAGTTTGGTCAAAGGTCATGAGATGTAATCTGGGCTAGCGCTAATCCTAACCTTAACCCTAACCCTAACCCTAGAGCGTTACAATGGGTAGAATGTCATAGTTATGGGGATGGCATGTGTAAGGTTATAAGATGATAGGGTGTTCATACAATGTCCCACCTCAGGATATAACATCACAGGGTGTCCATACAATGTCAC